TGAAACTAGTTAAGTGTAGCTATATAGTTTAAAACTAGCTAACTGTAGAGTCTAGTTAAAACTAGTTAAGTGTGTATAAGTATTTTAAAACTAGCTAACTGTATATAGTACCCTAGTTGAAACTAGTTAAGTGTAGCCTATATAGTTTAAAACTAGCTAACTGTAGAGTCTAGTTAAAACTAGTTAAGTGTGTATAAGTATTTTTAAAAAGCTAACTGTATATAGTACCCTAGTTGAAACTAGTTAAGTGTAGCCTATATAGTTTAAAACTAGCTAACTGTAGAGTCTAGTTAAAACTAGTTAAGTGTGTATAAGTATTTTTAAAACTAGCTAACTGTATATAGTACCCTAGTTAAAACTAGTTATGTGTAGCCTATATAGTTTAAAACTAGCTAACTATAGTAGTTAAAACTTGTTAAGTTTACATAGAAGTGAAATTTCACCTTTATTTAACCAGAAAGAAAACTCAACTCAGCCTCCATGTCTTTTAAAAGTAGGTACTACTAGTAGTACTTTGAAAGCAATCAGTGAAACCGGCTCCTGAAGGTTCAGGACATTTTGCAGCTGATTCCAAGCACATACTTAAATGCCCCTTTTTCCAATTCAATCCGGACTTGAGGGACAGATAACAGTAATAAGTCAAGATCTTCCTGTGCCTTTCTTTTTGATGTAGGTTTGTATGTATGCGGGAAGCAGACCACGAATAGCCTTGTAAATAAGAATGTGCCAAGGATTAAGTGCAATGCAGAATATAGTGAAGTGCAGGCTATATAAAGTTTTTCAAACTAGCTAACTTATCAAGCAGGTAAAACTAGATCTACCTTTGTTGCTACAACAGTAAAACACTGCTCTGACATTGATGATCCTATATATCAGATCAGATATCTGTCACAGGAGACACGTGACACAACTAGTAGGCTGCTTTTACGGGTAAGACTTTAATTCATTCTGACAGTGACACTGTGAAACACCGTGGCTCCATCTCTGAATATATTTAATTGGTTACAAACTAAAAGTTGGACCCAGAGTTTGGACTTACAGGGGAGACAGCGTGTGTGAAGGAATGTACTTTTGTTCATAAGACAGAGAAAAGAAAGAGAAAGGCGAAACAAAAAGGTTTGGCCCCTCGAACGTGCTATTAGTGTGGCTGAGTGGTTTCCTGAGGCCCTCACAAAGGCAACTGTAAAGCAATAAAAAGGCTTCCTCAGCTTGAGTCCTGACGTCTCTTCAAAGTTGGACGTGGAGTGCCGCCTGCCGCTCACTGTAACTGCTGCCTTTAAAGGGTGAAACACTCTCAGTGCCTTATCGCCACTGCTGCTCGCATACTGCCGTGAAAGACACCAACAAAGGGATGAAACAAATCAATTTATAGGTAAAAAGACTGACTGAATATGGAAAGTTCTGGAGAAATATATCTCAAAATAAATGTGAATCCAAATAAAAAAAGAGAGACCGGATCATGAACGTCAACATTTAAACCTGCAAACACAACACGAATGTGGCCTTTTGTGTGCAGAGGAAAGTGTCTATAAAACAATAATCAATCAAAATAAAAAGTGTACATAGGGAAGATTTTTTTATTTATATAGATAAAGAGCCACAACTTCCACACTGATTGAACATAAAAGGTCACAAGGTTAAGGTCAAACTTTAACAATGTTGTAAATTAAAAGACAATGTAAACTCTTAAGCTGAAACAAATAACTAAAGGTTTCAAATAAATGTAGTGGAGTAATAAGTATAGGCCTACAGTATTTCCCTCAGTGGTCTGAAAGTATAAGTTTAAATAGAAATAGTCAAATAAGGGACAAGTACCTCACCTACAGGGCTTCTTGAGTAAATGTAGTACCATGGGGAACAATAACGAAGTACATTTACTCAAGTGCTGCACTTAAATACAAGTAAGAGGTTTTGTAATTGAGTATTTTCTTTTAATGCCACTTTCTACTTCTACTCCACCCCATCTCAGAGGGAAATGTTGTACTTTTTACTTCACTACATTATCTGACAGCTTCAGTTACAAATTATTTTAAAAACTAAGATTTATGAAGAGTTTATAAAATAGGATGTCTTGTTATAATCAAAATACCCAGCAGTTTATACAAGTACAGTGGTACATTGTTGATTGACAGAAATTTAATTGGCAACTATTTTGATGATCGTTTACACATAAACATTTTATGGTTCACAAATGTGAAGATTTTGCTGCTTTTTCTTTTGCTCTCTTTCTTCTTCTTTAGCATTGTGAAGGTGTCAAGTAATCAGCAGAATTATTCCATAATAAAGATAATTATTAATTGCAGTCTGATACAAAATCTAAACCAACTAAAACAGTAAAATTTGCTTTTACATGAATGCATGAGGAATAAATCTAATGATATAAATAGTAAAAAAGTCACAGGGAACAATTTTCATTCTGAATACTTTTACTTTTAATACTTTCCAGATAATACATACTTAACTCAATGCAGTACTTTTACTTTTAACAGAGTATTTATCCAGTGAGCGAGCCTCTTAGTACTTTACTTAAGTAAAGGATCTGAATACTTCATCCACTACTGTTAGTTACTTTCCTGCACTGCATATTCATATTCTTCACTACAACTAAAAGTAAAGTTATAGGCCAAGATCAGAGTCACTCTTTGTTCTCAATTTAATTAAACTTTTAGAGGTTTAATTCCTGTAGAATTAAAGTAATCCTTAGTTTGCTCAAGTAAAAAAAAATAGTTCACGGAGGTCCCGCGGTGTGTCCCCGGGCCTCAGCTTGAGAACCTGCACGGCACCAGCCACAGTTGACTTGAGAGTGATTAAAAATGAAGCGCTATAGAAACCAGCAGGCCAATAGAGGACCGGGAAGCTGTTTACAAGAGGAGGTGTACCGTTTCTATGGTTGCTGGAAAACCTCCTGCACCAGGTATAAACTGCCTCCCCGACGGATCCTGCAGCCCGCTGACACCCGTTACAAAGACCTCCGAGGAGGAGAAGAAGCGCACAACGCAGCGCCAAATCCACAGGAATTTCTCCTCTTTCTTTCTTTCAAGCTGACAACAGGTGCACTTCAAATAGGCTGGGGCTGAACAATCAATACGTGCTGCGCGTTTTGGGATTTAAAACGCAACATAACAGCAAAAAGGTGAGTTTTGAACTTATTCTAAGATTAATTTATCCCTGAATGTGTTACACTACAGCTGAAGTGTGAATCAAAAGTCCACAAATATTTAAATTTATTTAACTCTTAACAAATACATTTAATTATTTATAAATGCTAAATACACAATATACTTACAAGCAAATTAATGTATATACTGGCAGTAAAGTATTACCTGTAAAATAATAAGGTGTTTGGTAAATTAAATCCTGTCCTTGGAGCCTGAATACAAAAATGGCGGATTTTACGCGTAAAACCGTCCTAAATGTGTCCTCAAAGGTGACAGTAGGCCTACACATTCCACCTATAGTTTAATAACACAGTTTAGTTTGAAGATTTTTTTACTTTTACCATGTAGTAGATTTGTGTGGGTTAAACGTTAACGGCACCTGTAGCCGTCGGTGGGCACGATGCGCTCTTTTCTGCGCTGAGCGTCAAGTGCGCAACAGAGTTTTCTGGAAACCTCTGAGACACGGACAGAGAGAGAGAGAGAGAGAGAAAAGGCTGCTGCTCATCAACAAGTTAGGGGTTTCAGAATATTCCTCACTTTTGCAGCACGTTTCAGACAGTAAGGTGAGAGAATAGCAGCAGGATTCAAATGGGAATTGGAATCTGAAAGACTTTACGCGCACGGACGCGCGCGCGCCCGCACACACACACACACACACACACACACACACACACACACACACAGAGGCTCTGTTTTCAAATAGGGCCATCATTGTCCTTCCTTTTCGCACTTGTGTTGACGTTGGTGTATTTTCGGTCCTGTCAGGCGGTGGCAGGGGGAGGAGGAGGAGAAGGAGCTGGAGAGGACGGAAGGAGAGAGCCATGCTGTCTCTGAGCTGTGCAGACCCTGGCCTGAAGGCTCGGTGGCGCTGGAGGAGGAGGTAATGACCGCCGCTGCCCAAGCTGAGGAGCGGGACAGCATCAACAACAACAACAACAGCAACAGCAGCATCAACAACAGCTCCATCAACTGGACGACAGCCTGACCAGCTGCAGTGGTTGCAGGAGTTCTCCATCCTCGGTGCCAACGTTCCGCAACAGCCACCACCAGCAGCACCTGTTCGGCCAACAGCCGCTGGGCTCCGACGCACCGGCCTCCCCTCTGGCCGGGGACCCGCCTCCATGGGCATGCCC